GGCATCCATTTTTAATCAGGGTAATGAAAAGGCCTCAGGCTCGGATGATTTTACAGATTTATTTTTTAAGGAGGCTTGGCCCATTGTAGGTGCTGATTTTGTATCGGCTGTCAGGTTTTTCTTTGATATATCTTTTCTCTTTCTCGCTTTCAATTATACATCTCTGGTGTTAGTGACGAATACTTTGAATCCTGATGTGATGAAAGACTTTAGGCCAAATTCGTGTTTCTCAGTAGTGTATAGGGCAATCACTAGAATACTTGTTGATAGACTGGCTACCTATTTTACTAGCATGGCGTCTCCTAATCACTAGAATCACTAGAATACTTGTTAAGGGAAAAGTATTGTGGATAATGTCTTGTTAGCCCAGGAGGTGGTTAAGGGTTATGCTCATAAATCTTTATCTTCTAGGTACGCGTTGAAAGTGGATTTGCAGAAGGCTTTTGATAGCCTGGACTGGGTGTTCATCTTGGTTATTTTGGAGGCCATGGGACTGCCTGAAAATTTAAAGGCTAGATTCGATGTTGCTTGACCACAACCTTTTTTCTATTGCTTTTAATAGAAGCCTTATGGGTTATTTTCTTGTCTCCTTACTTGTTTATCATGGTAATGAATATTTTGTCAAGGATGTTGGACGTTGTGTAACACCCCCAACCTGTATCTAACCCAGATACAAATTTGAGGTGTCACATCGACTTTTCAAATCATTTACTTTTACAAGATAGTTGAAAATTTAAACTATCATTAAAATAAAAATGAATAATTTATATAAATATAATGAAAAAGGTTTACTAAATTGATAAGTTCATATACAATTCAAACCTTTAATTACATGCCAACAATATTTAATATAACAAAAAGAACCTACAGTTTAAATTACTTCTGATCTGATCTCTGACGAAGATATGTTGTCCCGACTGCCTATCCTTGCTCTTCTGATTTCTTTGTTCCTACGTATGAAACACTCACATGCTAAGTCACAGACTTAGTGAATCATATAAAATGTATAATAAAACCTCTCATCACTTAATCATATTCTAAACATTTCATATAATCATTTAAAGAAACTATAAAACACATCAAGTAACAAAAGCATAAGTACACACACACACACACATATATATATCCTCATTAGTATCAGCATTATCAAAATCACTGTTCAAAATCATTAAACCATTTAAAGCATATAATCTTGTACTTAATATTTGTAAAACATCATATAATACATTTCACAAAGCAAAACACATGACATCACATACTATTTATTTATGTTATTTCTTTTAATAGCCCATGGTACACTTCTGAGAACTTAAGATATGTGAGTGCATTGAGGTTGTGCACAAATCTTGTCACCACAGCTCGTATAAATTGCACCGAAGTGCCACATAGAATGTCCATAAGGACCACATAATATTATCCCGAAAGACCGCGTAGAAATGTCCCGAAGGACCACGTAGAATTATCCTGAAGGACCGCGTAGAACCCTCGACTCTTGGCATACCAATTATACCCTTAGCTCTCATATCACATACTTATGGGCTTTACCATTTATATCATTTATTATATCTTATTTCACATAGTCAAGTAATCACGTCGGTCATCTCACGTAGCTTATATAATCTGTTCATGTAAACATGTAGATCATATCACATAGCTTATATCTTTTTCTCATTTATCCACATAGTTCATGTAACACATAGGCTAACATATAACACATAACTCATGAATAACATTGCAGGTGACATATAGAAATATGTATGTACTTAAGTACACATAGAAACCATATTAACAACATTTTAGTATTCATGTAATCATGAAATCAAAACATTGGAAATAGACTCGTCGCAAGTCTTATTTCCCATATCACCATATATTATAGTAGTATGCACTCACATTGACCTCACTAGTCCAATCAAAACACCTATGACTCTGGAACACTCTTATAGCTTGAATCATCTTGAACTTGCCTTCGATCGATATCTACACAAATATGTGACTTATATGAATATCGAATTTTGAATCACTAATAATCAATCATCCAAACTTAAGCTCAAAGAAACACTTGATTCTCAAATTCCATATGAATAGTATCAATACCATGGTACAGTACTGATACTTCCTTTATTGAGGTATCGATACTATACTTCAGTATCGATACCCTTTTTACATACTAGAATTCATCTTTGAAAATGATACTGATACATTTACTCTAGTATCGATACCTTTTGGTATCGATGCTACTCCTTTAGTATCGATACTACACTACTGATTCATACAATTTCACTATATGGTATCGATATTGTTCTTCCAGTATCGATACCCAAACCCAAATATCATATATTTTTTTTATGAAGTATCGGTATTGTTCATCCAGTACCGACACTCTTTGCCCATAACTCACTTATTTTAACCCGAAAATTAACTAACTTACTTAAATCTTCCTCTTTAACCTCTTTTCAAGCTTTTAAACTTAACTACACATTTAAAAACCAACTTATATCACTAAAACACACTTAAACATCCAAAAATCCTCATAAAACACTTGGAAACAAAAATCACACCAAATAACCAACATACCCCAAATCCATTTCTAACACTTTTGATTTTTTATTCCAGCTTATGACAAGTCAAATTTCACTTCAAAATTCATTTACTAACCCTTTCTCAACAATTCACTCAAAAACTCTTTTTAATTAATCTCCCGTAACTTGTAAATCATTTTAGTTTATGCTTCTCTTTAAGCTTCCTTAAGTTTTCCTAACCCCAATAATCAAAATCAACTTAAAAATTTAAGATATAATAAACTTAAAATTCTCTTACCTTATCTAAGCACTCACATAGAAAGGAAGAAGAAAGGATGAAGAAATGATTCTAGATTTCTCTGAAATTTTCCTTTCCTTCCACGTGTATATAATACACCACAAACCAATATTAAATCCATTAATTGCCAAAAGACCAAAATAACCATTCATCTTCTAATATTTTCTAAACAATCATTCACAAAAATCTTTCAAATAAATACCTTTCAATTTATCTAAATTGACCACAAGGTTTTAAAATCTTACACTTTGGTCACTAACCCGATATTTGGGATGTTACACGTTGCTGTTGGAAATGGTATATTTTAATTTCATCTGAAATGTAAGAGGGTTAATCTCACTCATCTTTGCTTTGCTGATAACCTTCTTATTTTTTCCAAGGGGACCATTGACTCAATTATTGGTATACAACGTGTCTTGGATAGATTTTATATTATGTCTGGTTTGCGGTTAAATGCTGAGAAGAGTGAATTATTTTCATCGGGTATCCCTCTAGTGGACTTAGAGGTTATTAAGCGGGCTTCAGGGTTTAATATTGGTTCCCTTCTTATGAGATATTTGGGGTACCTTTGATTACTAGGAAATTGGCAAAAAAATATTGTCATTGTCATTTGGCCAAGGTGAGCAGAAAATTGGGGCATTGGGCTAATAAGAATTTGAGTTTTGCTGGTAGGCTGGAGTTAATTCGTTCGGTCCTGTTCAACATTACAAATTACTGGTGCATACACTTTATTCTTTCCAAAGCTGTGACGAAAAGACCTGATCAGATTTGTATGCATTTTTTTGAAGGGTTTGGATATCCCTACTGTGGGTGCTAAGGTGGATGACATCTTGTTTGTTCTCTTAAAGTTGAAGGTGGTCTTGGTTTGAAGGAACTGGGAAGCTGTAATAAAGCTTGTCATTTCTAGTTGATCAAAAAGATCCTAAAGAATAAGGGCTCTTTGTGGGTTGTATTTTGAAGGGCCAGGACTTCTGGTGTATGGTGCCTAAGGGATATATGAGTTGGTGTTTGCGGAAGCTATTCTCTTTGCGTGATGAGACTCGTCCTCTTTTTCTTTCTTCTGCTAAACCGAATATTTTGATCACTAGGAGATTCTGGATGAATATTAGATTCAAGAGGTATAGAATTTTCTGGCACAAACTGGTTTTCCATTCCATGTGTCGAAGCATGCTATCATTGTTTGGTTGGCCATTTTAGGGAGGCTTACCACAAGGGATCGCCTCATTCGCTTTGGCATGATGGTTGATGAGATGTGCGTGTTTTGTGGTGTTGTTGCTGAGAGAAGGGGTCACATTTTCTTTGGTTGTTCCTTTTCTAGCTCGATCTGGGGGAGGGTCTTAGATACTTGTGGCCTGCAAAGACCTATTGAAAATTGAGATTTTGAGTTGCGATGGGCTGTTAAGAATTTAAAAGGTAAGTCCATGATTACCTTCATTTTAAAGATTGTTTGGAATGCTCTTATTTACTTTGTTTGGCTTGAAAGAAATGGCAGAATCTTTGGTCATTGTGCGAGTAGTGAGGATACTATTTTTGAGTCTATTAGACAAATTGTTAGAATTAAGACCAAGGGTAAATGTATATATAGAGCAGATGGGATAAATTCTTTACTTTGTATAGCTTGGGGTATTCTTGAGTGAGCTCCTTGTTTTTGTTTGGTGTTTAGTTTGATGTAGCAGCTTTGCTGCATTCTTTGGGTGAGCTCTTTTGTTTTTGATTGGTGTTCGGGTTTGATGTAGAAGCTTTGCTGTATTCTTTGGATATAATGAATTTAACTTATCTAAAAAAAAGGAAAAATGTTTTAAATTTAAATTTACTTTAAAAATAATCTTATAAAAATAAATTGATAAAACTATTAAACTCAAAAATAATTTATTGACATTCAGGAATATATATTTTTTCTGAACGAAATTCATTTCCCTTTTACCTATGACTTTGAATCCGATTCTAGGTTCCCAAAAAAAATGAATCCGCTTCTCCGTTAAAATTAATATAAGCCCCCACCCATCATGTTCTTGTCCAGATTCAAAGAGTGCCGTTCACACGGAAACGTTAACGTGGAACTAGAGCCGACCACAATATTTTTTGTCTTTGACATAAGATATTGCGTCACATGACCGGTGGTATTTTCGTAATAATACCTAAGTTCCACGATATAAATTGATTTGTGCACCAAATAAACCATCAGATAAGCAAAGGGGGAAAAAAGGAAAAGGAATCCGCTTCGCAGATTTTTATTAGCCTTGAGATTGAAAGGAATCGGAAATAATGGCGGCAGAGGGACAAGTAATCGCCATCCACACTGTTGAGGCCTGGAATCAGCAGTTTGAGTCGTCTAAAACCTCCGACAGACTGGTAAAAATCTCCTTTTTATCTTGATTTTTTTTTGGAAATATGGGTTTTGTGAACTTATCTGCTTTGTATCTTCTGTTTGTTTGAAATTCATAGTGTTGTTGGATTTGTGGGTAGGTGGTGGTGGATTTCACAGCTTCGTGGTGCGGGCCATGCCGTTTTATGGCACCAATCCTGTCTGATCTTGCTAAGAAGATGCCCCAAGTCTTATTCTTGAAGGTGGACGTTGATGAATTGCCGGTAGGATCTCAGCTCTTAAGCAATTTCTTACTGAAAAAGCATGTGGTTTTTATGTTAAAATTTTCAATTCATGCTTGTGTTTTTTGCAGACCGTGGCTGAGGAATGGGGAGTTGAGGCCATGCCAACTTTTATCTTCCTCAAGGAAGGCAAAAAAATTGACGCCGTTGTGGGTGCAAATAGAGATGACTTGCAGCAGAAGGTATCCTTGCATTCTTCTTCCTCGGTGCAGACTGCTTGAATCATTTGAAATATTTTCTTATAAATATCCTTCTCTCCAACAGAAGGAGGTATTAAATAATTTGTGATTGTATTTGTATTTGGCTACTCTGCTTTTCTCCTTGTTTGAACCCTAATTTACGTTGTATGTTGTTGTTGGAGTCAACTATAAGTTATGAACATAAATTATAAAATAAACATGGATTGTACCAAGAGCAGAATTAATACATGGTTTCTGTCTTTTAGTGCCCATGCTTTATACCAGTGTTTGATTCGTAGTTAAATATTCTACGTATATAAATACAGATACTTTATCTTTAGCCTGCGGCTTAATCCATGTTAATATATATAAATAATGGAAAGATCATTCAAACTTAAGTATGGTGCTCTCATTTTATCAAAAAGAAAAGTATGATACTCTCCTAATAGTCCGCTTTAGCCGCAACCTGATTTTTTTCATCAACAATTGATCAACAATTGGTGTAGTGGGGAAGAAGGGGTCTCTAACATCGAAAAGGCACTATGTTGACCTTATCGGATGATAGTCAATGAAACATTCATTGTCTTTAAGCAACTCATCCCGTCTATGTTGTCTCAAATTTAACCATTTTTGAATAACAAGTACTTGAAACTCTTACGGTCGATGTATTTGTAGCACTTACCTCCAAAGAGATAATGCCTCTGAATCTTAAAGACGAGGATCACTGAAAGAAGCTTCAAATCATAGGTAGAGTAATTATGTTCAATATGAATTGAGCTACCTAAATGCTTAAATGACCACTTTCTCCTATCGCATAAGGACACATTGAGATTGTTTTATAACGGATCATTAAACAACATATACTTTTTTTTTAAACTATGATCGTGTTAAATAGTGATGGCTTATTCAAAATTGCCTTAAGTCGATCGAAACCATGCTGTCTATGACCATTCCATTCAAATAGGAACTTTCTGCAACATTATGGTTAAGTGTGTTGCAACCATCGAGAACCTCTTAGTAAATTGCCTCTAATATTCGGTAAGACCAAGGAAGTAACGAACATAAAAAACATACAAGAACAAGATGAAAACTTTCAATTTTCAAAATGAAGTCGAAGCCGTGTCTATCCCTTAAAACTTATTCGTCTCATCTCGCGCGTATACGAATATCTGGATATTTTGGTGCCTGCATTCAACTACCATGGTGGGAGTGTCAGCTGTCTCATTTTCATGAATGGTTCCATTTACAAATTTGCAATAAAAACCAAAGTTAATGCACAATGCCTTTTAGACATAAGCATAATTATATTCCTAAAGGAAAAGAAGCATAATTCCACGAACTCACGGCCAAAAATAATCGATCTGATCAACAGCTCAAGCGATTAAACTTTCTGTAATATAGTATGCTAAGACATTTATAATCTCTCAGCAGAGTTGGAAACCAATTAGAAATGAATTGGTTAGAATCAGCTAAGCCTTAATTAGACATGTATAAATATAAGTTTGATCAAATTTAAGACTTATTTATTTTTCCAATAACTTCAGATTTATTTCTGAAAAATCAGTGAGTTTGATAATTAGATTCTGGAACCTTGTATTTTTTTCTCTAAATGATTAAATATAATATTTTAAATGTGCATTCATTCAGTGATAAAAGCGAAGGTCCATACATACATGTATACCATCGCTCAATTCTAAACAAATTTTCTATCATCTAAGTAAAGAATTCTAAAAAAAATTTCTATTATCTAAGTAAAAAATTCTATACAAATTTTATTTTGCGTCTTCTGAAAGGTGTGACTGACGTGATATATCTTTATCCATACGTCAGAATAGATATTATTTTTCTTAAATAGTTTTATAAGTATTGTTTTATTAAATAATTAAGAATATTATTCAAACAATTTACCACTTGAGTTGGTCCAAAGTGGTTTATAAGAAAAAAAACGATTTAATAAATATATATGGTATAATTTATACGATTTAATAAAACCGATTGGGCTTTTATGAAGCCTGATTCCAATCCAACAGCAAACAAATAAACTTTGGGCTTTAGCATGAGCCATCATAATCAATCACGTTCTCGTGGGAACTGTCACCATTTCATTTACATTTTGCTTATTACATTGAAAAATTATACTAAAGACTTTTTGGATGCCCGTTTTGCTAGATTTGACATTTCCTGCTTAATTATCACAATTGTTAGTGATTACTTGGCGAATGTTGTTGGTTTTCTGGGTAGGTGGTGGTGGATTTCACAGCTTCATGGTGCTGGCCATGCCTTTTATAGCACCAGTCCTGGCTGATCTTGCTAAGAAGCTGCCCCAAGTCTTATTCTTGAAGGCGGATGTTGATGAATTGAAGGTAGGGTCTGATCTCATAAGCAATTTCTAAATAAAAAGCGTGTGATTTTAGCTTTTGATGGTGCTAAAATTGTTCATGGTGTTTGTGTTTTTGCAGAGTGTGGCTCAGGATTGGGCGATTGAAGCAATGCCGACCTTTATCTTCCTGAAAGGAGGCAGCATAGTTGACAAGGTTATGGGTGCAAGGAAAGATGAATTGCAGCAGAAGATTGAGTTGCATTTGTGTGCAACCGGGCAGAATATATGAATTCAGCGTTTAATTGCAGCAGAAACCAGGATCTTATCAAATTTGGGGTATTAAAAACAAAGTGATATAAATCGAACAATATGTAAAAGTATACATTCTTGTTATGAAATGTAAATTGAGTTCCTTATGAAATGTTTTCTATGAGATGAATAAGAAAATATTTTATAATGCTTTATTATACTCGTACTTGCCTCACTAAGTCAACGACTAAGCGTGTGATTGTTCCACATGCAGGTTCAAAGAAATCTGAGGGCTAAAGCTAGGAGAGGACATCATACTACCGAAGAGGATCAGATCAGAACAATTTGAATGTAGGTTTCTTATTTTGTGATTTTGTTGGCATGTATTATAAAGTTTTAAATTGTAATGTTCTGATCCGTTTTGTAATCATACACATTTATATTTACGTAAATTATTGAATGTCTATTTTCATTATGAATTTTTAATAGAAATTTTGTTATAAGGGTTTCACCACTCAAAAACAATCAATAGTTTGAATTTTACATGAACTTTTAAAGTGTAAAAGTTTTGAAAGGTTAATGTGACACCTCGGATTTGTATCTGGGTCGGGTACGGGTTGGAGATGTTACAAATATCACCTCGTTTATATTTGTTTCCTCTGTAATACCCATATCCTTAGAGTCGGAAACAAACTCTTCCCCTGAGTCTCCAACTAAGGAGGCACGACTCTCCACTCAGCTCTCTTGACTATGGGCGGGATCGTTTGCCATAACTTACAAATTTCCAAGGAAAAGAAGAGTGAACATCATCATTTTCTAAACATTTAAGTACGTTTGACACCCTAGAGGCATGTACTTCATTGACACCTAATGATTCTAACCCACAGGTCCTAAGAACGACTAAACCTGACACTATGATACCACTAAATATAACACATTAATTTGACCTAACCCAAAGCCCGGATGATTAGAATACCACACAGAACCACTTGAGTGACTAACAATTTTTTTTAAAACATTTGACTAATTCAACGTTCAAACATGATATAAGATACCTGAAATATAATATATTTACAAAATATAAATATTTAGAAATACGGGGAACTCCCAACAATAGTCTTCAAAATACATATGTACAAAAATATATTTTATGACTCAAATAATAATAAAGGTCTATGACAGTACATGCTCACTAAATACTTGAGACGTACTATGATGGATGGTCAATTCTGGAAATCTAAGATTCGACAACGAGCTCATCGACTGGCACCTACGAACTTGCGTAAGAAAACACATTTCATACACTGAGCTCACAAGCTCAGTTCCATACAAATAACCCTACTATACTACATGCATCCAACATATAAGCATGCTACAAGTATGGTCATGAACATATGTATACATCAATACAACAACCAAAGTAAACATCATGGTGTAGCTCGGGGTCACTTAACATCACATAACTCACACCCCTATTTGTTTACTGAAGAACCTTAGGCGAGAGCTAGGTCACACAACATCAGCATCTTCCTGAATCTCGAGCTGAGTATGGATCACATAGCATCAAAACTTACTCAGCTAGTTTACTCATCTAGAGTACTTGGGATATGGTCGGGTCACTTATCATCGGCACCTCATCCAGGTGCACTGGTTTGATATATCCAAACAATCCTCAATCTACCACACAATCATCATACAAGTAACTCGTGTGACCTTGTTGTTTCCCAAGCATCATACAAAGGCATAAGTCTTATTGAATCTTACCTCATTAAGATGTTATGTTTTCACACAATTTATCAGGGTGTTCCACTTGTAAGCTTATTAGAAGGTTTCCCTCATTGAACCCCTTGGTTCCCCTTTCAAAACTGAGCTAGGAGTATAGCCTAAACATTCACGATGGTATTGATACTCCTCTTTGGGTATCAGTACTCCCCTCCTGTGATATTGATAATTTCCTGAATATCGGTATGAAATTTACATTCGAAGTTTTAGAAAATCTCTCAACATCAATACTTTCCCGGGAGTATCAATATTCTACTCTTCTGAGTAGTGAGAGTACCGATACCAAAATTTCCTTCGATGTTTTGAAAAATACCTCGGTATCGATACTCCCTGTGGGAAGTATCGATACTCTACCCTCGGTATCGATACTCCTGTGAGTACCAATACCAAAATTACTTTCTATGTTTCTGATAAATACCATGAGTATCGATACTAGGTCTCAAGTTTCGATACCACCCGAGCAATCTCGATACTCCTAGATGGGGTATCGATACTCTACTTATAAACCCTTTGAAATTTTACCTTTAAATGATGACAATATCAGTACTTTTCTTACAGTACTGGTACCCTCTACCTAGAAAACCCTGTTTCACTCATTTAAAATTCCCCATTTTGTTCCCTGAGTGTCCCTAAGACTCCCAATGGGTGTTTAAAGATTATTTAGTACTTAAGAAACATGAAATGCTTCTACTTTACACAAGAATATAAAAGATACTCGTTTTTATACTTAAACCCCAAAGTGTACACAAATGGCTCATACACCCAAATATACGTCCAAACTACACATGATTATCTACAAGCATTATAGAAAGTTTAAAAATATATTACATTACAC